GTGTGTCAGTGGCAGAGCCGGGGCTCGAGCCCTGGTGCCAGCGCACCAGAGATCTCGCCAGGCACCACCAGCCGTCCCCCCTTCCCACGCGGGCCCCGGCGCCGGGTTGCCCCGCTAACGTGTTTGTGCCTTTCTCTCCGCAGCCAAAGAGCAGTACTTTATCCCAGGTAAGGACCGAGCTGGGGCTGAGGGGACGTATCTGCACAGGGACTGTCCATGGGCCTCTCTCGAACGGGCTGTGCTTTGCCGTGTGACGTCCCAGGGTAGCTGGGTACGGTGCCACGCAGGACTCCCACGGCCCGGCTCTCCGGCCCGGCACAGATATTGCCGCCCGCTGCTGGCACCTGGGGGTCTGGCCCCAGAGGCGGCGAATGGCCCTAACCCAGCCTGGGACCCCGCGCCCCACACAGCCCCCAAGCGATGGCAAAGCCAGTGCAGCGTCTGGCTCCAGGGAGCGATTCCCACGCCGCCAGCGCCTCCCGCAGGCACAGAGCAGGAATCCTGCACCCAGGAGCCGGCTGCGGATCGTGGCCTCGAGCAGCGACGGCTCGGCTCGGGCGCAGGGACTGGGATGTAGGGTGAATGAGAGCAGAAAAGCAGCCGTGGCCCCTCCCCACACCCGCCTGCCGGGCCCTGGCTGGGCTTCTAGTGGAGAGCAGCTGGGGGCTGCGATTGGGGGATCTCAGGCTGGGGCCTCACCCCCCATGGGGGGCAGGGGTGGCCCTGAACCCCCCGGCCCGGGGGCCTGATTGCTGCAGGGAAATGGCATCTGCTCCTAAACCCCGGGGGAGCAGGAGGTGCAGCTCCTTGCGTGGCAGGCTGCGCTGCCCCCTGCTGGCCTTGCTGCACTGGGGCCGGACTGTGGCAGGCCAGACCAGCCCCTCAGCAGGGCGGGGGTTGGCGTCCTGCCCTCCCTGGCGTCTCTCTTGTGGCAGGCGCGGAGGATCACCAGCTGAACAGCGAGTGCAGCAGCGACGTGACCTGCCCCCCGAAGTGCCGCTGCGAGGCCAACGTGGTGGAATGCTCCAACCTGAAACTCACCAAGCTCCCGGAGCGCATCCCACAGGCCACGGCAGAGCTGTAAGCCCCCCGTCCCCCGCCCCACCCCGGCTCCCCGCGCGCCGGGCGTCCTGCCCCGGCTCTGTCTGGCGCACGTGCACTCGCCTTGCCAGAGCCTGCAGACCCCCGCGTAACGCCCCCGCCCGGTTCAGGGAGCTGCACGCCTCACACCGGGGGGGGAGCTGGGGGGCTTCCTTTATTCCTCCCGGGGGGGTGAGCACTGCCTGGGTCTCAT